TTTAAAAATATTGAACACTCACAAAGTTTATTTCTATATACGCTTTTCTTAAAACACTTAACTTAGGATGTATGCCTTCCAGAATGAACTGGAATCCAAAACAGAGGGGAGACATGCAATTCAAGAAACAGGGAATTGCCGGGCGATGGTGGCACACGCCTTTAATCCCAGCACTCGGGAGGCAGAGGCAGGCGGATCTCTGTGAGTTCGAGGCCAGGCTGGACCGACAGCCTCCAAAACAATACAGAGAAACCCTGTCTCATAAAACCAAAAAAAAAAAAAAAAAAAGAAACAGGGAATTAACTTAGGAAATGAAAAGGAAACTACAGGCATTAACACATCACAGGCTTAGAAAACTGCAAGATCGAATTAAACCAGAAAGGGAAAGGCCTCTAAGAAGGTTATATTTAAAGAAAAAATTATACATGTTGCCTGTCTCAAATCCGTGGAAGTGCTTGGTGAGAAATGAACATTTGAGTAACTACATACAAGGCCACATACAGCCCTACCTACCACATAGAAAAGAAATCTGAAACTGTGTGGAAAACATTTTGTATTCAAAAGTCAAAAAACTAATATAAAACCACACACACACACATATGGAAACTTCTTTTTCTTAGATTTTATTTTTTATTTTTAATTATGTGTATGTATGCGAGTGAATAGATGCACGTGAGTAGCCGAGATGTCTAGAAGAGGGTGCTGACTCCCTGGAGCTGAAGTTAGAGGCAGCTCTGAACCTCCTGATGTGGGTGCTAGGAACTGAACTCATGTCAACTGGAAGAACAGTACTTACTCTTAATTGCTGAGCCAACTCTCCAGCCCTAAAAAACTGTTTTGTTTAGACATACTACAGCTTTAATGACGTAGACTTTTCTACGGATTTATTCAAATCACTTGTTTCTGCAATGAACTTGTAAGGCTGTATAGACTTAAGGTACCACCAGAGCCATTGATTTGTGTATTTACTCCTTGGGGGTGCAACTGCTAACAGTTTTTCTTATTTTGTATTAAAGAACCCATAAGAGATTATGTCCGCAGCTCTTCTGAATCCCATGGTGGCTCATGCTTCCAGCTCTAACCTCTGTGACTTAAGGGAAACAATAGGTACCTGGGGATGAGTTCAAAGAAAGCCACCAAGATGACTAACAACTCAAAACAATCACCTTGGGGGAACAGGAATGAGTCAGCCAGAACAAAAGATGACTAGAGGGTGACTAAACAAAGATTCCTTACACAAAGGCCTGGTAAGGTACACAGACAGGGAAAATAGAAGCCAGCAATCTAGTCCCAAGAGGCCTACCACATATTAGACAACCGGACTGCCACTGAGCTACACGCCCAGCACTTGCTTGAATTTCTGATATGGCCTCATTATGTAGCCTAGGCTGTCCTTGAACTGGCTATGTAGCTCAAGCTGGCCTCTATCTTGTGATCAATCCTCTTGCCTCCCAAATGCCGAGATTTTTAGTTACATCCAGCCTTTTGAAAGCTGAGTCCATCCTCTGTGCACTTAACAAAACGGTAGTGAGTTCTTCCTGCATGTAACTGAGAAAAGGCAAATCAGGAAAGGCTGGGCTGGGCTGGGCTGATCAAAAGAGCCTGGAGAACCTGGGGAGTGGGGAGGGGGTTGGGGGAGAGGGGGAAGGAGCCTTCCTGTGTTCTGTCTGACTCTCAGTGGTGCTGGCCAGTGCAATTTTCTCTCTTTCCATTGATGTGCTTTACAATTGTGATTGATAATTGAATTCTTTTTGAAGTTCCATAATCCAGCACTCTCTACTGTGTTTTTGTCAGAATTATTCTCTCAAATGGCTGCATATGGGCTCTCCTGTTTCATGTTGAACATTTTTGGAGTCATAAAAATGTTATTCTTTGTAGATATGTATGAATTCTGGAAAGTAGTTACACCGAGGAACGCCTTGTCCTACTGACTCACTTCTGGACTCGTGGGATGGAAGAAAATGAGATATAAAATTAAAGTAATTCATCAGCTTTGAAATAATACCTGCGGATGTTAGGTATGAATTAAGCTACAAATGAGGTTGAGTGAATTTTTTTTAAAGTTCCTTTTTATAAACTAAAAGGTGAGCATTAAAAAACATTCCTTGTCAGGCATGGCTGAGCATATGTGCTATTACAGTAATTGGGAGGAAGAAGTAAGAGAAACAGAAGTTCGAGCCCAGCCTGCGTTATCTGAGAACCCCCAGTTTAAAAACCCTAAAAATAAATAAATAAAACATCATTTTAGAAAATTGAACATGTTTTTGTTGTTGCTTGTTTGTTTTTTTCAAGAAAGTGTTTCTTTGTGTAGCCCTGGCTGTCCTGGAACTGAATTTGTAGACCAGGCTGGTCTCAAACCTGAGGATACACCTGCCTCTGTCTCACAAGTGCTGGGTCTAAAGGCATGTGGTACCACCACCTGACCAAAAACCAAACGCATTGATAGTGAAACCTCTTTCTCTCATCTCAGGTCTGGTGGTGTAGCCTACACTGGCCTTGACTTACGATTCTCCTGCCTCACCTCCTGAGTCCTGGAACTCCAGGTATGTGCTGTCACATCTGGCATAAACAGCTCTTTGTCATTCTGTTATTTCTAAACAGGAGACAACAGCTTCTACGCTCAGTTCAAGCAGCTGGTATGGTGGCAATCGGCCCAAATTAGACTAACTTTGTTGTGAAATTCTACAGTAAAGCCTCATGGCTCTGTTAGATATTCAGAGATCAGCCCTGTCTTCTTTTTAACTGACTCTCACAGAGGGTACTATCTCCCACAACCCAGTGAAAATCCTACATATAATGACTTTCAGTCGTTTTTGCAAATTCTCTGAGTCATCTTTTCTTAATGCATTATGATCATGACACCAGTTGCAACACATAAGAACTATTTGTTATGGTTGAATGCCCTTGGCATCCGTATACCCAAAGAGTCTGGTATGTTATGATGGAAATTCCTTCCAAGACCCCTCCCCCATCTGTCTCCAAACCCTGCTGCATCTCAGAAAGCCTACCAAATGAGGACCTCTTCCCCAGAGAACCTCAAGACCACTCCCACAGGGTATTTAAACTGTCCCCCAGAAAACAGACTTGTGGTATTTCTGGTCTATCTTTCCCTTCTCCTTTCTGGGGAACTGGAAGGCCATCCTGGAGTGTTGTATCCATCAAACGTGAGCTTTTCCAATTCGGTTTGATTTGGATTGCTGCATCGACTTATTGGGGTGTAGAAAACTTTTCACTATTTCTGAGCCAGGCAGTGGTGGTGCACACCTTTAATCCCAGCACTCAGGAGGCAGGTGGATCTCTGTGAGTTCAAGACCAGCCTGGTCTACAGAGAGAGTTCCAGGACAGCTTCCAAAACAATACAAAGAAACCCTGCCTCGAAGAAAAAAAAAAAGATAAAAACAGAAAACTCCCAAAAAGAACATTAGGAAACCCAAGGACAATAGAGGTGCCAGCAAAATTACAGACATGTAAATTACAAAACCAGGAAGTGTAGATTGTTAATATGAAAAGTTGCTGTCATGAGCAAGCAAAGGAAAGCAAGGTGAGAAGTGAGATGGTTTTAAGTCTCCTGCTAACAAATACTTGAAAATAACACTGCTAAAGAGAAGTGATATGGCTGGGCGTTGGTGGCGCACGCCTTTAATCCCAGCACTCGGGAGGCAGAGACAGGCAGATCTCTGTGAGTTCGAGGCCAGCCTGGACTACAGAGCGAGTTCCAGGACAGCCTCCAAAACAATACAGAGAAAACCTGTCTCAAAAAACAAAAAACAAAAACAAAAAAAAGAGAAGTGATATGAGAGGAGGCCCTCCCCTCCTGATTGTAGGAGAGTGGCCAGGTTTCTTATGAGCCCTGGCCTTTTCCTTAACAGGCAATGATTGGATGGCTAGACTTGACAATAACGATGTTAGTTTGCTTTGAGCCAGGATCCTGACTATAGCCCTGATTGGTCTGGAACTTAATGTGTAGACTAGGATAGCCTTAAACTCACAGGAATGATGGTGTACATTTTTAATATTTGGGAGGCTGGGCAGGAGGATCTCTGTGAGTTAAAGGCCAGCCTGGTTTTCATAGGGAGGTCCAGGACAGCCAGAGCTATGTGGAGATGTAGAGAGACCCTGTTTCAACACAACAAAACCTCAAAATAGAGTTTAGGGCTAGAGAGATGTCTCAGCAGTTAAGAGCACTGACTGCTCTTCCAGAGAACCTGGGTTCAATTCCTGGCACCCACAAGGCAGCTAACAACTGTCTATAACTCCAAGATCTGACACCCTCACACAGACGTACAAGCAAAGCACCAATGTACATAAAATAAAAGTAAATTATTAAAAAAAAGAGGTCAAAGTAATCCTTGACTATATAGCAAACTTGAGCCCAGCTCAGACACAAAAGACCCTGGGGGGGGGGGGATGGTGCACGCCTTTAATCCCAGCACTCGGGAGGCAGAGGCAGGCGGATCTCTGTGAGTTCGAGGCCAGCCTGGGCTACAGAGTGAGTTCCAGGATAGTCAGAGATGTTACACAGAGAAACCCGTCGGGGGGGTTCTGGGGGAGGCAGAGGAAACACAGAAGGTACAACCCATTTTCCCAGCAGGATGAGTCCTTCTCAGGACTCCTAACACTCCAGCAGATCTTGGGGCGAGAGATGTGCTGGGAGTAAGAGCAGCTATAGCCTGACCTAATCCCTTGCCCAAACCAGGACTCCCGGAAAGATAAGAGGAGCTGCTGTAATGACAGGGAAAACAGTTGTAAACAGACCATTCAATGCAGAACGAGTCACGCGATGCCTCCTGGCAGAAGGAGCTTTGTGGGCAGAGATGGAGACTAAGGAAGCACCCTGGAAGGCAAGGGACCTCAGGATGTTGGAGTGGGGACGGAGGTGGGTGGGAAGAGAGACTGTGCCGTAGTGGGGGCGGGGCTGGCAATGGGAACTGTTTCTTAGCAGGGAACACCATGACCAGATTTGCATGTGGGGACAATAGCTGGGCAAGCCTGCAGAGAAAAGACAGGAAGAGCACAGAGTAGCGGAGAGGTGATGCAGAGGCTGGCACAGTGAGCGGCTGGCGAGTCATGAGGCCCTGATCTCAAGCAGTATGAAGGTGGAGGTTCCAAAGGAAAAGTCTCCACCACGAGGGACTCCAGAGATGGGAATGACGGGGCAGCCAGGGGAGAAGGGGCTGGGAGGTAACAGGAGAAACAGAGGTTTCCAGTCTGGGTGACTGGTGGCTTCCGCCTGCTTCCTCCAAGGTGGTGTAAGTAAAGAATGACTTCAGCTGCTTGGCTGACTCCGGAGAGTTGACATCGAGGAAGAATCTTGCAGGAGGCAAGTGGTCGGGTCAGAAGCTGAACCGCCAGATCCAAGGAGTGAGCGGAGGTGGTGAAGAAGGGGTGAAGGTACCCTCAGGGAGCCGGAAGGTCCAGTATCAATGAAGCACGGAGGCAGATGGGCCGGGCACCGGGCTCCTGGAGCCTGGGTTTATGCTAAGCACAGGCATACCCCACGCCTCGCCTCTTCTGTACCTTTGAGTCATGACCATGGAGGTAACAGGTGATCTCAGGAGAAAACCAGGAGGACACGGAAGATGAGGGCAGATGAGGAGGGTCCGTAAGAAAGCCAGGGCCGTGAAAGTGATGGGTTCTTCGGATGGTTGAGCAAACCGTTTTTATCTATATGCAGGCATGAGGGCCTCTCTGGTGTTTTCTGATTGTTACTTTTTGTTGTGGTAGCACATGCATAAAGTAATAATCACCCTTTTGGCTATTTGCAGATATGTGATTCATTGGTTTTAGCTGGGTGTGGTGGTGTGAGCCTTTAATCCCAGCTCTTGGGAGGCAGAGGCAGGGGAATCTCTGTGGGTTGGAGACCAGCCTGATCAGTAAAGGGAGTTCCAGGACAGCCAGGGCCACACAGAGAAACCCTGTCTGGAAGCAACAACAAACAAACAAAAAGCAAAAGAAGAAAAGGAAAATATCCATGATTCAGTGGTTTTAAATGTGCTGTTTAAGCAACCCCTCTGTACTTACTTAGAATGTTTTCATCTAGAAGGTTGAAGGCTGGGCCCCTACCCTTTGGTGCTCTTGGGGGGTGGTGGAAATGTAAAGAGGTGACAGTGGAAAGGAGTTAGGTTTCTGGGGGTGTGTCCTTCAAGGGAGTATTGGGTACTTCTCTTTGCTTCTCAGCTGCCATGAAGTAACTTGGTCTCCTCTGCCACATGCTGTCATGATGTTGGAAATGCAAAAGGGATTACCTGCTGAAATCTCTCAAACTCTGAAGCAAAGGAAACCTTTTTTTTTTTTTTTTTTTTTTTTCCGAGACAGTGTTTCTCTGCATTGTTTTGGAGGCTGTCCTGGAACTAGCTCTTATAGACCAGGCTAGTCTCGAACTCACAAAGATCCACCTGCCTCTGCCTCCCGAGTGCTGGGATTAAAGGCGTGCATCACCAACGTCCGGCAATGCTCTTTTTTTTATATATATAAAATGTGTTTAATTTTATTCACATGCATGTGCATTGGTGTGAAGGTGTTAGGTCCTTTGGAACTGGAATTACAGACAGCTGTGAGCTGCCATGTGGGTGCTGGGAACTGAACCTGGGTCCCCTGAAAGAGCAGCCAGTGCCCTTAACTGCTGAGCTATCTCTCCAGGCCCATGCTTGACGTTTTTGCAGAGCACCAGGGTTCAGTTCCCAGCACCCACCCTCATCAGGCACCTCACAACTGTCTGTAACTCCCATACTAGGGGCATATGATGCCATCGTCTGGCTTCTTCCAGAACTGCATGCACATGGTGCACATATATACACTAAGGCACACACACACACACACACAAATAAAAATAAGTAAATCCTTTAAAAACAAATGCAGTATAATATACCACCTGTAGTACTCAGGCTTGTACCTTAAAGCAGATACAGTTGCTCCTGTATGTAATTCTGGTTAAGAAAAAGGAAATGTTGGTGCGCAGAGCAGAATTTGAACAGAGATTTCCAAGGAATTTGGGATGACTAAAGTCAATTCCTTGAAAAATACTAAACAAAATCTGGAAAAGTCTAAGTGCTTTGGAGGACACCTGCTCTTCCTCTGGGATGTGGGGTGGGGTGTGCTGCCCTGTGGTCATGGGATTGTGATCTTATGGTAGACTGATCTGTCAAGTCTCTTTTCTGTCTGTGTCTTGAGGCTAGGGCACTAAAAGCATTACTACAGCTAGGCATGGTGGCTTTAATCCCAGCACTTGGGAGGCAGAGGCAGATGGATCTCAGTGAGTTCAAGGCCAGCTTGGTCTACACAGCATCTAGGACATCCAGGACTGTTACACAGAGAAACACTGTCTCAAAAAAAAAATGCATGTGGTAAAAATGATCTTTTTCACATTGTCTTCCAGTTCACTCACTTCCAATTCCTCCATTTCAGAAATCACTACTCAGTCATATAGCTAACAGCTCTCTCTCTCTCTCTTTCTCTCTCCCTCTCTTCCCTCTCTCTCTTTCTCACTCTCCCTCTTCCTCTCCCTCTCCCCCTCCCTCTTTCTCTGTCTCCCAAATATGTTTGTGTGAGTGTGCAATGTGTGTTCAGGTACATGTGGAGGCCCTTCTGGTTCATGGGATATTGAAAGTGTGTGAAAAAAAAAATAAAAGGAGTCAGGCATTGGTGGCCCACACCTTTAATCCCAGCATTTGGGAGGCAGAGGCAGGTGGATCTCTGTGAGTTCGAGGCCAGCCTGGTCTACAGAGCGAGTTCCAGGACAGCCTCCAAAACAATACAGAAAAACCCTGTCTTGAAACCCGCCCCTCCCCAAAAAAATGAAAAAAAAAAGTTCACAGTAGCTTTCCACTTCACAGAAGCTCATGACTTGAAGACTGCTCCCCTATAAGAGACTGCTCTTACCTAGATTAGCTAAACCTGTCCCCTTTACCCATCTGTAAACACCAAAACTGCCCCTTGTTTTCTGTATGTAAAAGCCTCTTCCTTGTTCAGCCGTACCCAATAAACCTGCCTCTGTGTTCAACACTATATAACAAACACACTGAACTTCCTGAAGACCAAGGTTTCTCTATCCAAGAGCCTGGGCCTCCCAATCCCAGTGTCTGTCTGTCTGTCTGTCTGTCTGTCTTTTCTTCATTTCCTTGAAGCTTCAGTTAGGTTCGTCCCTGGAGCTGTGCTGGATACAGCACTCCACCTTAGTTTTTGAGGCAGAGTCTCTCTCTGAACCTGGAGTTCACTGATTTGGATGACCAGTAAGCCCCAGGGACCTTCCTGTTCCTACTTTCTCACCTCCGGGGTTGCAGCTATACATGGTCTGGGCCCTGCTTTAGTGCTTGTGATAGGCTTGAACTCGGGTCTTCATGCTTGCACACAGCAAGCAGTTTTATCAATGTGGTCATCTTTGGAGCTCCAAAAATTTCTTTATTCTAAAAATATTTCTGGATGGTTTTTGACATTGCGGTATCTTGTTATTATAATTGTGGACACCCCCCTCTCCCGCAGAAACAGTGGAAGTGACACTCATCTCTCATTTTTTGAATTCTCCCAGGGGTGCATTGCCACTGAGAAGACATCCTCTGTGGGCAGATGAAGGTCAGGGGGAAGGAGGTCTGGTGGGTGCTGACATACAAAATCTGAATATGGACAGGACAGCAAAGTCACAAGTCAGAGCCCAAAGTTTGCAACGCAGGCTCTTAAGATGCAGTTCAACTGTGCCTCAGCAAACGGGGGGGGGGGGGGGGGGGGAAGGGGGATCACCCTGTGAGGGAGAAGTGAGCTGCTCGGAGCAAATGGGAGAGTTTGGGTTGGAGAAGTTAAACGCCAGCGCTTGAGGCTTCCTCACGCTCAGGGGGTTTTTGCATTTCCCAGAAAGCAAATGGGGGAACAAAAGCTTGAAGAACACAGTTGGGAAGGTCAGTGGGATATCGCCAGGGCTGGAGGCAGCTTCACGTCTATTAAGCTGGCTGGAGAAGGCAAACTGCCTTTATGTATCAGAACTGTCTTATTCCTCCATCAGTAGTGGGGATGGAACCCAGGGAACTTCATGTTAGGCACATGGGATACACTGGGCAACATCTTAAGTGCGGAATTTCATTTTTATCTGTTCTGGAGTTGGACATGCATGTCTATCAGTTTTAGTTACAAATGTTTACTGAACATGTGCTGTTCTCTCCCAGTTGCTGTCAACAAAAGTGTCAACTGACCATTTCCCAGTTGTCATGGGTGTGAGGCCAGGCTCAGGCCTCCTCCACGAGGTGACATGCAGGTTGAGATCTGATGTACAAAGTAAAGGAGGGGACAATTCCAGAGAGTGTGGACACTCAGGGCGCTGCACTCTGAAACTTGTTGGCATCTGAGGGAAAAAATGAAGGGACCAAGTGGGTGAGAGGGGGCTAGGAGGGGAGGGTGGGAAGACAGACATGAAAGAGAAGGGGGGAAGAAAGGAGGAAGGGGGTGTTGTCTATATGTGCTCACTGGATGTCTTACAAAGGAGACAGTCATGTTTTCAGTGAACCCTGTCGTGTTAGAAACCACATGATTGCCAGGCGTTGGTGGCACACACCTTTAATCCCAGCACTTGGGAGGCAGAGGCAGGCGGATCTCTGTGAGTTCGAGGCTGGGCTGGACCGACAGCCTCCAAAACAATACAGAGAAACCCTGTCTCGTAAAATAAAACAAAACAACAACAACCAAAAAAAAAAAAAAAACCCCAAAAAACCCCCACATGATTGGCGCTTGTTTATCTCAAATGAGGATTTTGCCTGAACTTTTCAGAAAACCCCCAGTGTGGTGGTGTACTGCCCCTAAAACTTGTCACTTCAACTGGATGGTACAGTTTTGAAGAAGTCTCTGTCTCTCTCTCCTCTGTCTCTCTGTGTGAGTGTGTGTTTTCTCTCTCTGTCTCTGCCTGTCTCTGTCTCTTTGTCTCTCTCTCATTGTGTAGACCAAGCTCACCTGGAACTCACAGAGATCCAACTGCCTCTGCCCCACTGAGTTCTAGGATTAAAATCATAACAACTCTCGTTTCTTTTCTTTCTTTCTTTTTTTTTAAGATTTATTTATTTATTATGTATTCAGTGTTCTGCCTGCATGTCTACCTGCAGCCCAAAGAGGGCACCAAATCTTATTACAGATGGTTGTGAGCCACCATGTGGTTGCTAGGAATTGAACTCAAGACCTCTGGAAATCAGTTAGTACTCTTAACCTCTGAGCCATCTCTCCAGCCTCTGGTTTCTTTTTTCAAAATAATTTTTATTTTGTTTTGTGGGCATTAGTGTTTTGCTTGCATGTATATATGTCTGCATGAGTGTGCCAGATCCCCTGGAACTGTAGTTGTAGACAGTTGTGAGCTGCCATGTGGGTGCTGGGAATTGAACTTGGGTCCTCTGGAAGAGCAGCCAATGCTCTTAACCGCTGAGCCATCTCTCCAGCTCGACTCTGTTTTTGTTTTCTAAGATTTATTTATTATGTATACAGTGTTCTGTCTGCATGTACTCCTGCAGGCCAGAAGAGGGCACCAGATCTCATTACAGACGGTTGTGAGCTATCCTGTTGTTGCTGGGAATTGAACTCCGGACCTCCGGAAGACCAGCCAGTGTTCTCAACCTCTGAGCCACCTCTCCAACCAAAGTTAAGAAACTTTGGTTTCTTAAATGTCACATCGGTGCTACTATGGTGGTTAGTGTTGGCTGGCTCTAGAGTCACTTGGGAGACAGACTTCTGGGCATGCTTCCTGGGAGTTGGGGATTACAATGATTGAGTTGAGAGGGGAAGATTCATCCTGAAAGTGGAAGGCACCATTCCCTGGGTCCAAGATCCTGGACGCAACAGAAGAAAGCTATCCGGGCACGAGGGGGCATTCGTTGCTGTCTTCTTCTTGTCTTGACTTCGCTGTTGTGATGGACTGTGTCCTTGAAATGTTAGTCAAATGAACCCTGCCTTCCTGAAATCACTTTCGCCAAGTTTTTGTTTGTTTCCTTCTCACAGCAATGGGACAATGAACAGCTCCTCAGCAGACAGTGAGGGAAAGAAATGGAATTCGGGCTCAGGTACACACTGCTGTGTCACTGAACAGCCAGAGGACCCACTGCTGAGGTCTAACTGCATGGTTGATGCACAGAAGGAAGAAGAAATGTGGCTCATGAGGCTTGTCAACTGAGGCAATGCTAGTTTTGAATGTGTTCTAACCCCCTCTTTAAACTGTGGGTTTGGGGACCCTGCAAAGACTTGTTTCTTGGAATGTGGGAATTATGAAAATTTTGACAAGAAAATGTTTCTTTTTTTTTCCTATTTAAATTAGAAACAAGCTTGTTTTACATGTGAATCCCAGTTCCCTCTCCCTTCCCTGCCCCCCACCAACCCCCCATCCTATCCCCTTTCTGCTCCCCAGGGAGAGTGAGGTCTATCATATCCTTTGGAGCAGGGCCTAGACACCCCTCCCCCCCATGTCTAGGCTGAGAGAGTATCCTTCTATGTGGAATGGACTCCCAAAGTCCATTCGTATACTAGAGATAAATACTGATCCACAGCCGGGCGTTGGTGGCGCACGCCTTTAGTCCCAGCACTCGGGACGCAGAGGCAGGCGGATCTCTGTGAGTTCGAGGCCAACCTGGTCTATAAAGTGAGTTCCAGGACAGCCTCCAAAGCTACAGAGAAACCCTGTCTCGAAAAACCAAAAAAAAAAAAAAAAAAAAAATACTGATCCACAGCTAGAGGCCCCATTGATTGCCCAGGCTTCCTAACTGACACACACATTCAGGGGGGTCTGGGTTGGTCCTATGCTGGTTTCACAGTCATCAGTCTGGGGTCCATGAGCTTCCCCTTGTTCAGGTAAGCTGTTTCTGTGGGTTTCTCCAACTTAATCTTGACTCCTTTGCTTATCACTCCTCCCTCTCTACAACTGAATTCCAGGAGTTCAGCTCAGTATTTAGCTGTGGGTGTCTGCTTCTGCTTCCATCAGCTACTGGATGTAGGCTCTAGGATGGCATATAAGGTAGTTATCAATCTCATTGTCGGGGAAGGGCATTTAAGGTAGTCTTTCCCCTATTGTTTAGATTCCTAGCTGGGGGTCATTCTTGTAGATCTCTGGACATTTCCCTAGTGCCAGATTTCTCTTTAAACCTATAATGACTCCCTCTATTATGGTATCTCTTTTCTTGCTCTCCTCTATTCTTCCCCTGATTCAATCTTCCTGCTCCCTCATGTCCTCTTCTCCCCTCCTCTTTTCCCTTCTCATTCTCCTAACTCCCTCTCCTCTCCCCCCTCCATGCTCCCAATTTGTTCAGAGGCTCATGTCCCTTTCCCCTTCTCCGGGGGACCATGTATGTCTCTCTTAGGGTTCTCCTTGTTTCCTAGCTTCTCTGGTTTCTGTATGTACAGAAACTAGAAATTAATTGAAGATCTAGTGCATGCTGCGTGTGAGGTGCTCTTGACAGCAGACAGTGCAGCTGCATTGTGTGGGTCATTGCAGTCTTGGCTCTGAACCTACAAAATCCAACCTTTGGGCTGAGAATGACACCACCCTACAATCCATAACCCCAAAGAAGCTAAAACCCTCTTCCAGAAACAGATGGAAGTGGATGCAGAAATCCACAACTAACCAATGGGCCAAGCTCCTGGAGTACAGGAGTGATAATATGAACAAAGGAGTCAAGACCATGATGGGGAAAACCACAGACTCAGCTGACCGGAGCTAGTGAGAGATCACTGACAACGGGGAACCTGAATAAGACCGAACTAGACTCCCTTAATATAGGTGACAATGGTGTGACTGGGACAATATACGAGGCTACTGGCAGTGGGTCCAAGATCTAACTCTAATGCACAAACTGACTTAGTGGAGCCCATTCTATATGGAGGGATACCTTGCTCAGCCTAGACACAGGGGTGTGGGGGTGGGGACATGCCTTGGTTCTGCCTCAAGGAGATGATGAGACAGACTTAGTAGACTTCCTGGGGAAGGCCTTACCCTCTTTGAGGAGCAGATGGGAGAGAGGGGAGTGGGAGAAGCAGAAGGAGAGGAGGGAGGGGGAACTGGGATTGCAATGTAAAAATAAATTAATAAAAATATATAAAAAAACCAATGAGTGCTGTCTCCAATGCCTCAGTTCTGGCTCTGGACTATTTTGCATCCTGAATTACAGTGTTCCTACTGTAGGTAAGAAGTTTTCTGCTCTTGCAGAAACATGGTTTAATTAGAAACCAATGGCCTTTGAATGTTTCCCTGCCATCATTCCTTGGTTTCTAAGTATCAAAATAGTGTAGCTCTGGATTGTATTGTTAAGACTGGTTTTTAAAATTGCTGTTCAAGGGTGGGTGGTGGTGGCACATGCCTTTAATCCCAGCACTGGTTAGGCAGAGGCAGGTGGATCTCTGAGTTTGAGGCCAGTCTGATCTACAGAGGGAGTTCCAGGATAGCCAGAGGTACACAAAGAAATCCTGTCTTGAAAACCACAAAAAATTGTTTAGTAATATTTGATTTGTGTTTAGAAAGAAAAGTTTTCAGTTTCTGAGATGGCACCAAACATATTTTTGCCACTTTGTACTATATGTTTAGGGGAAGCTTCATTCTCATCATTGACAATTATAAAATCAAAATGTCATTCAGCTGTGGACAATGTTGGGAATGTTCTGTATTCTACCAGGTCAAACCAACATTTAATTCTTTAATTTTAAACAATTATTTATTTCGTATGTTGTATGCACAAACACACAAACACATGCATATGAAGGTTAGAAGACAATTTGTGGGAGTCAGTTCTCTCTTCCCACCATGCGGCTTCTGTAATCAAATTCAGCCATCAGGCTTGGTAGTAAGCACTTTTCTTACTGAACATCTCACTGGCCCAGGGTTTAACTCTCTATGAAAAAAATAAACAGGTAAATAATGTCATTTACTTTTCATATTTAGTGATAGAATTATGTGTGCACCAAATATTTTAAAATAAATTGCTTTATGATTATCAGTAAGTGATTTTGGGGGGTTCGAAACAGGGTTTCTCTGTGGCTTTGGAGACTGTCCTGGAACTAGCTCTTATAGACCAGGCTGGTCTCGAACTCACAGAGATCTGCCTGCCTCTGCCTCCCGAGTGCTGGGACTAAAGGCATGTGCCACCACCGCCCGGCCCAGTAAGTGATTTCTATTTATTTATTTATTTTGAGATAGGACCTCACTATCCTCACTATGTATTTTTGGCTGTAGACCAGGCTGGCTTCAAACTCACAGAGACCCTTCTGCCTTGCCTCCCAAGTGCTTGGACAGTGGTGCAGTTTTTTAACCTTAGCCAATCTAGTTAATTTGTGGCGGCTATTTTATGTACTGATATTCCCAGGGTCACACAGATATTTATCAGGGTGGGTGGGAGCCACTGTGAAGGAAAATGTTCAAGCAGCCCTGCCCCCAGACCACCCACATGACTACATGACCCTCACTGGATCTAGTTGTCTGGATGGCATTTGACACCATTTTCTGTGCTGTGACAGGCCTGTTATTTTGATTTATTTTCTAAATTCTTTGCCATCTTTAATTTTGATGAACTGCAATACTAAGATTCCAACGATATCATGTAAAACAAAGAACACCTTGCTTTTTAGTTTTTTGAGACTTCACCTCACTTGGGAGCAAGGATTTCACTGCAGGTTCTAGGGTAGGCAAGTGCCTCCACTTCCCACTGGTGGATAATGACAGTGGTGGTCCCCGAGACTGTTGTCTAAGTTGGCATCACTGAGGGCCAGATTGTCCCTTTGATATTTGTATTGTCCATAAATACCCTGTTCGACAGCTGGAGACAGTGTAGAGTGTAGTTTTTCCCTCGCCAGCTGCCTGGGCTCTGCCGTGTCGCAGTCCCCAAATAACATACAAGACAGTATATTAATTATGAAGTTGTTGGCCGTTTGCTTGGTTTCTTACTGGCTAGCTCTGATTTAAGTATTTAACCCATAATCTAGGTATTTCTCTTACCGGAGAAAAGGGTCCAGACCTCTTACTCCTATGGCGGGCTACATTGTCTCTGACTCTGCCTCTCTTTCCCAGAATCCTCCTTGACTCCTAGTCCCAGCTATCTTGCTTCCCTATTGGCCAACAGTGCTTTATTCAACAACCAATAAGATACAGATTTACAGAATTACATCTCCCATCAAGACAGTCCATATCTCTTCTCACTAGCATTCCAGCATGCAATTTTCCCTCTGCTGGGAGACCTGGAGCTTCCCCTCACCATCCGATGCTCCAGATGGAGAAGCTGCCTCAGCTGGTGCCTCCTGCGGAAGAGCTTGACCTACAGCATGGAGCTGACAGTACTGTTCTTCGTTCCCTAGTTCATTTTCCATAAAGCAATGTCTCCTGCAATAGAGTCTGACCTTCCTGAGGGATGAAGATTTTTCTTATTCATCATTGATATACGTACATATGTATATGTATATCAACTATGTAATCATACATGCATACATATCCCAAAGTATAACTTGGTATCCACTTTATTGCTAATAGGTACGACCTCTTCCTCCACTCTGTTGTCTCTCTCCTTGCATCAGGTGTCTCCAGTGGCCAAAGCCCCTCCAGTGCTGAGGCTCTGCTGGTCCAGAGGCAAGGGACATGACCTGACTTGAGTTTGCTGCTAGCCAATCTCTCCTGTACATGCTCTACCCTATTGCACATCAAATCAGTAAACATGGCTTCAGGCAGGCCCAGAACAGCAGTGACTGATCTGTAAATAAGGAGTCAGATCCAATCACCTCTCTACCTCCCAAGCTTAGGCCACAGGTAAGTCTGATAAGCACAATGGGCTGACCTTTACCACACATTTTCAAAAATTCCAGACCCTGAGTTCCAGCCACCCTTGGCCTCATATCTAGGCCTAGGTGGCAGTTGGCAGTGTTTAGTTCTCCTTCCAGACTCCTCTGATGGAGGTCACTGTTGCTAGTTCTTCCTAGATGCTGGAGGTGTGTGTGGGGGCAGTAAATAGAGGTGTGTGTGTGTGTTTGTGTGTTTGTGTGTTTGTGTGTGTATGTATGTGTGTGTATGTGTATGTGTTTGTGTGTGTTTACAAACACATGCCCGCAGGCATACAGCTGGAGATAGACTGTAGCAGTCCATCCAGCCCAAAGGCTCGGGCCAGCTCTGTCTTCAGGACTATGGTGAAGGTCTTTACCAGACTGTGTGGTGAGGTCAAGGAAGGCTGCCTTGTAGAGAAACCTGGGGTAGAAATTTTGCCTAGTTAATTGAAACATTGCAAACCACTTGGCAAGGTCAGTGAGATTAAGGTAAAGGCACTTACCACCAAGATTAATAACCTGAGTTCAACCCTCCAGAATCCTTGTTAGAAAAAGAACCAAGTATTGCAAGTGTGTGTGCACACCCCCCCCCCCACCTCCAGGTCATCTAACAGGTCAAAGTGAGCTGAGGCCTCCTGTTCCATTCTAGAGAGGACAGAATTGCTGAGCTCCTCAGACCAGGAACTAGACACACTTGCTAATGATCTGCACCATACCATCTGGCTCCAGAAGAGTGGAGAACGATAGGAGAAGCTGGTGATTGAGGACACTGTCGGTAAAAGATGGATACAGTTTGGATGCTGCTGCCAAAAAAAAAAAGGAAAAAAAAAAAAGCTCAACCAGAAGACACCTGGCCCCAGGAGGCACCTCCAGGCACAAACCGATGAGCAGCTCCTGGCATGGATGGTCACAGAGTGCCAGCAAGCACAGCAGGACTGGAGAGCCGCTCAGGTCCTGTGGCTGGGCCTTCTGCTGGGTCTCCAGCAGGCCCCTCCAGGTCTGCAGAACCGGGCCTATCAGTGAAGCAGCAGTCCCGTGTGCAATGTGTAGCTGGCAGCAGGAGGGATTGCAGATCTCTAGGGTCAGAACTGTCCTTTCAGAGGCAGAGCAGTTCAGCTGTTCTCATAGCCGAGGCTTGACCAGCAGTTTCTCAGTGCTCAAGAGCACGTAGCTGAGACCCAGTGGGGTATACAGCAGGAGCATCAGAACCTCAAGGAAGGAGATGCAGGAGTAGAGATAGAGGAGGAATATCCCCCAGCAGTCACAGGGAGATTCACTGTTGGCCTTGCTGCTCTGCTGCTCTGCACTGTGGCTGATGAAGAGCAATGAGGAGTACCAACATCACCACCATCAGACCTGGCCAAGGACATCCTTTCAGGATCCAGTAAAGCCCTCAGATGCCATGGAGAAATATCCAAAGGGCATGGGGAAGATGAGGGATAGGTTGGAGAAGAGGGTATCAAGGTTCCAGAGGTCACAGGTAAGGCAGCTGCTGGATGTGGTAAGATGCTCTGCAGCAGGGTGGCAACAGCATACTGCTGCGGATGGAGGAGGAGGAAGGGCGGAAGCAGGAGGTCTCTCAGGGTGACCACCAGGACACAGGCACACAGCACCATCTGTTGATTGGGATGTCTTCCCCACTCACTGTGGTGGTGAACTCAGCCACCAGGAACATCTGGGCAGAAGATGTGGTGTCACAAACAGAAGTATCTAGACCATCCTGGACCAGGTTGTGAAATAGCTGCTTTCACACGGATAGCATTTTGTAGCCAGCTGCTTCTGTATTTTGCTCAGCATGACTGGAGTGGATGTGGGGGATAGGGTGGCGTGTGGTGTGTGTTTGTGTGTGTATGTATGTGTGTGTGTGTATGTGTGTGTGTGTGTGTGTGTGTATGTGGTGAGGATACTGAGACATGCAGTGTTTTTGAGCTCAGAGAAGGACCTGCAAGGATGAGGAGGCAATGCTTGCCAAGCACCAGGACTCAACAGAGAAGCCCTTTCTCTAGTGTCTGTGACAGAAACTTGATTATATATATATGCATGTTTCATTAATAGAGGCTGATAACCCTCTTCTTTCACCTAACCCTCCCAACCCCTTTCTTTAAATCTGTGTTTAAATACCAACGTGATTTTAGACCTATGGGGCATAGGACCTATACCCATTTTATGGTTAGCTCAACTTTATTTGTTGGATTAAAGTGAGCCTTGAATCATTGCACTGGGGTGCTAACTCAGTGGTACGGCACTTGCCTAGTCTTAATATGATCCTGGGTTCCATTCCCAACCCTGATTCGATTTAAGACTATCACTATTTTGATTGACACCTACTGGCTGTACAGCTAGACCATATTAATAAATGAAACCAAGGAGGTTGATTCATTCAACTGTCAAGAGGGAGCGATAGAGAGAGACCACACATCCTAGAGGTAGAGGCTGTGTAAAGAACAGTTTCTCTTGCAGAGGACCTGGGTATGGTGCCCAGCGGCCACGTGGTGACTGACAACCACCTGGAACTTCAGTTCCAGGGGCTCTGAAGCCCTCTTGTGGCCTTCATGGGTACTGCATGCATATGAGCAGGCAAAAACAAAACAAAACAACAACAAAAACCACGCTCATACACCTCAAATAAAAATAAATAAATCTTTAAAAGAAAATGCATCCAACAGGCTACCTGGCATATGGCAGGAATTCTGAAGCAGCAAACTGAAGTTGAAGATTTTATTTGCTCACTATTTAATTAACTGTTGATTTTTACTAATTTATTTTTGACAATTTCATACATGTATTACTTATTCATTTTTACTTATTTTGAGGCAGCGTCTCCCTATGTAGTTCTGGCTGGCCTGTAGACCCGCTATGTAAACCAGGCAGGCCTTGAACTCACAGAAACCCATTTTTCTCTGTCTCTTGTGTTGGGGTTACAGGTGTGTGTCACCACACTCAGCAGTCGATCATTTCTTTTTTGAGACAAGGACTCAAGTGGTTCAGGCTGTCCTTGAATTCGCTACATAACTGAGGATGACCTTACCATACCCTACACAGGCAGGTTACCAACTAAGCCCCCATCCTGACCTTTAAAACATAGATGTTTCGAGATGCTGCTCGAAAACCAAGCAAGCAGACAAGCGCTGCATAGACTTGACTGGCGTCAACCAGAGTCCAAGCCCCTGGCATGGTATCTATAGTAAAGAGGGAGACCCCGCCTGCCTCTATGCAGGTAGGCACCTGGGGAGAGAGGCAGCTGCCAGGGGAATTTAGCTGTGGCGTCCCCTCCCCCCACGCTTACAATGGAATTGCTATGGAAACAGCATTCATGTACCAGAAATCTGTTTCTCGACTAAATTTCGTTCGAATTCTTTGTTTCTTTAATGCTTTGTATGAAGTGAGGCTTACCAGATTTTAGAGCTTTGTCTGAATTCAGGCCCTAAGTCCCACAGACGAGTGGAGGTGATGTGGCTTGGCGTGGGAGGAAGAAGACGTTCCTACCCTCACTTCACCAATCAAAACAAACCACAGGCTTTCTAATGGAGCAATTGATCTTATGAATTTTCTGCGGGCAGAAAAGAGGAAGGGTCCGTCCACTAGCTAACACTGCGCATGTGCTCCTCACATGCTGGCTGCAGCTTCTTTCTTCGGACATCACCCCCCCCCCCCCCCACCTTTTAAAAATTCCGAACTGATATCCTACTGTCAAGCTGGATTGGTTCCCCTTCCTCTCTTCCCCCACTACTGTTAATTCAAAAAGTTAAGCAAATTTTGTCTTTTTATCTAATTAGTCTTCTTCTTAGGGAGTTTGGTCCAGATGATTCATCCCAGAAAAACACCAAGTGCTTGGGACGCTTTGGCGGGGTTGCTTTCCAACTCATCCACAGTTTCCCAGGCAGAGCCTCAGTTTTCTGTTTCAACAGTGGCGCTGGCTGTCCTTTAGAGCTGTGGGTCAGTCGCTCCGAAGGCTGCTCGAGGTCACTGACGCCGCAAGGCAAAAAAAGCATTACGCTTCTCTCCAACACACGTTCTCGCAGTTAGGGTGTTGACTGCGTGCCCGCGCTAGGACCCAGCAGCAGGCGGGACGCGGCGTCCTCGCCCCACCCCCGACACGCACTGGGTGGAGCTGTCTCCCTCAAAGCGCGCTCCCTCGAGGGAGGGCGGGGCATCATGGGCGTGGCACAGCCGCGGTGGGCGTGACGGCGCCGGAGTGGGCGGGGCGGCACGACGCTGCCAGGTCGGCCGGGCGGAAGGACCTTCCGCGGAGCTCGCTCCCCAGCGCGCTGGGCGGGGTGTGCGGCGAGCGGCTTCCCGGGCAGGCGCGGGCCTTGAGGCGGCGGCTGCGCGGTGCGCTGGGGCGGAGCCGGGGGGCGGGCGGGCCGGCGGGCGGGGGCTGGGCCGGAGGAAGCCTGAGCGCCCGCGGCGACGACGGCAGCGGCGGCCCAGCAGGCTAGAAGCGTGGGTCCACGGCGGCTCCGGGTGCGGCCGCGGGCTGCGGAGCGAGCGGGCAGCCCGGCTCCCCGCGTCTCCCGCCCGCCGCGACTGTCTGGAAGATGGCGCCGGGCGGATGGAAATCCTAATGACAGTCTCCAAATTCGCCTCCATCTGTACCATGGTAGGTGCAGCGGCAGCGCGGCCCGGGCGGCCGGTCCCCGCCTTCGAGGCGCCGCCCGCGGCCCTGCTCTAGAGCGAGCGGACGGGGCGCGGGGCCGAGTGGACGTGGGGAAGGCGTGCTGGACGCAGCAGGCGAGGCTGGGACTGACCCCGGGGCTCCGAGCTGAGGACCGGAGCTGGGGATGGGGAACTCGGGGTCTGGGGACCGGGGATTCGGGGACTGTGCCTGGGTGCTAGGGCCTGGGGACTCACGGACCGGGGTTGGGGTAAGGGCTGCGTACTGGGTCTGGGGACTTGGGGGACTAGGGGTGGGGACTGGGATTGGGGGCTGGGGGCTGGAGCCGGAGACTCTAAACTGGGGACTGGGGACTAGGACCAAGGGCTGCAGGCTGGGGGTAGGGCTGGGAACCGAGTCCTGGGAACTGGTACTCGGAAGCCAGGGGACTGGGTCAGGGGAAGGGACGCGGCAGCCGCTGCGTTTCCGTGGGGCCGAGCGCGGGGTAGGGCGGGGGTCTGCGGCAGGAAGGAAGGGTCTCGATCCTGCCGGAGGACGGAAGTCCTGGCAGAGTTACTCCTCGGGCTAGGTGGAGCCCCGGGACCCGGGCTCGGGAAGGGGGCGTGTGAGCGGTGGAAACTTTTTAAGAGTGCTGTTGAAATGTTCTCTATTTTCTACTCGCCGACGAGAAACGAACTCTTGCGGTTTCCAACTTGTGTCCGTCCAGATGGCAGCCTTGTCGCTGAGAGTCCGCGTTAATCTTGAAAAGCCGCACTAGCTTTCCTGTCATTTGTTTACTTTAATAGAGCAGACGCTGCTGTGTGGGGTTGAAGTACACAGACCCCGAATAGAGCGAAACGTGGGTGGGTTCCAAACATGTGTTTTGTGTATTGCCAGAAGAAGCACCACGGTTTCCCACATGATGTGACAAATTCATTAGCTCCTTTCTGAACTTGTACATAGAGGTTGCGATTTATGAATCACCGAAAAAGTTATTATTTGCAGTGTGAGTCTGGAGTTACATTACCAAAGATTTGCACCATCCTGTTCCGTTTTTATGTTTTGGATTTCATCTAGGAGATCCCCAGACTTTCCACCTGAAAGTTATCTGTGCTTTTGCTTTAAGGAGTGGTGAATCAGGTAGGAAAAGTGGATTCTCTACTGCATTTTGTGGAGCAGTATTAAAAAAGGGTGGAATCTGTGGGCTTAAAATCCACAGCATCAAAAAAGTCATAGCAAGAAGGAATCATTGGAGAATCGATTTCCCCACTTGGATAATTGTTCTTTTCATGGTCTTCAGAAAGGCGCTATATTAACAGTTTCTGGGGTTGGTTGTCCTCATTACTTTAAACCTGCCACATAGGATAATTGACTCTTTTACAGGGATAATTTTACCAGATTGCTGAGCTCCACACCTTTTGGGGTCATAGTTCATTGTCAAAGTCTAGGGCTTCAGGAGTGGTGTGATTGCCATGGACTGTTCATTCACTCAGTTACATCAAGTTTGCAGCTAGCACCTGCTGACTAACACTGGCAATGCAGAAGTGATCCTGACTGTCTCTAGCAGGACGGTTTAGACCATGTTTCTGCCTCTAGGACTCTGGATGCAGAAGGATCACAAGCTCTGCAGGTTGGAGTTACAAGCAAGGAGACCTTGTCTTGAAAAAAAAAACACCCAAGAAAAGGCAGCCCCTACTTTCATGGTGTTTACTTTCTTCTTGAGGAAGACAATTCTCATTTATATAATAATATAGTATAATCAAATAAGAGCAACAAAGGACAGACCTGCCAGGGTTCTGTAACAAGTAAGGCTCGATGTCTAGGATATCCCAAGCTCACTCTCCTTAGGCATGTGGTGTGTGTGTGTGTGTGTGTGTGTGGTGTGGTGTGGTGTGGTGTGGTGTGGTGTGGTGTGGTGTGGTGGTGGTGGTGGTGGTGGTGTGTGTGTGTGTGTGTGTGTGTGTGGTGGTGGTGGTGGTGGTGGTGTGTGTGTGTGTGTGTGTGTGTGTGTGTGTGTGTGTGTGTATGCGTTTTGGCAAATACATCGACATCCATGCCTGGCCTAAGTGAAATTGTTCCAAAGGTGCTATTAAGATCGGGTGCGTCTTGTTCATACTTGAATAAATTCTACTCCTCTCCCTGAGTAGCTACTGAACAGGTCAGAGTGTAAGGAGAGCTGCTCTCCATCTTCTGGGAATTGTGAAAGTGAGAATCAGGAATGACAGGCCCCGTAGGTTCTGTTTTGCTTGGAATGTAAACTGTTCCATCACCCACCGACTATCTTAAGGAGGTCATCTGAACAACACCACTCTGCCACTTGCCTCATTTTTGTGATCTCAGAAGTGCTGTGCTGTATATGCCATGTGCTGTTCCCCCCATCTTTTATTAGGTTATGAGGCTTTTTTTTTCTCTGCTGGTGTTGTGAAACAGGGTCTTTTGTAGGTCACACAGAGTATGTAGTGGTGGCTTGCCTTGAACTCCTGATTCTCCTGCCTCCACCTCCTGGCCTCTTGGGATTTCAGATGTACACCACCACACCAGATTTAGACTGTGAGGGCTTTGAAGTTAAAGACTTACCTGCCATTTGACCATTTGTATATGTTTACTAGTGTACAGTGGAAACAGTCCTCCATTTCCTCATAGAGGTGAGTTTGGAGTAGAGGCAAGGCTGGGTGTGGAACTGTGGAGAGAAGGAAACCTGGACTTAGAACTGGATGCCTCGAGAGTCAGCAGCTGCGAAAACATTGAGGCACTTAGGATGAATTGATATCTTATTCTGTAAATATGGAAGTTTACATAACTTATTCACTTGTCAAAATAAGGTGCAGAAAAAACCTGCAGTAGCTTAATTGGGTGAAATAAATTAAAAATAAGTCTCTTCAGATAAGCTGCAGTTTAGATGACTGTGTTTCTGCCTTCATGTGAAAATTGGTGAGATGTTTCCCTTGGTGTTGTAGCCTGGTTCAGAGAGTGAGTGTCCTTAGACATACTGAAGGTGCCTCTAGAAATGCCTGCTTACTGTCTACCGTTAGTACACCTTCAGCTTCATGTGGTGGTCTTTAATGCAGTTTCTGTTTTCACTGCCTGGTGCAGCTCATGAAATGGCTTTAATTTTACACTTACTAAATGGCAAACATCAGGGAAAGTGGCGGGATATGCAGAGGGATTCTGGGTGGATGTCAGCAGCCTCCTGTGGCTAATCCAGGTGTTTAGGCATGTCTGCTGGAGCCCAGTGCTGCCCACTGGAAGCTCATCAATAAAGCACTGCCACTGTCTGGTGTCGGTCCCAGCTGGGAAAGACTTTCTGGGGAGGGGGCGTGGATATAGCAGAAACGAGGAGGTGAGTGGTTTCTCATCATGAGATGGCACTGGCTTGGCTGCTTGCCTAGCTTAGCCCAGTCACCAGGCAGGGAGGGTGTGTGTGTGTGTGTGTGTGTGTGTGTGTGTGTGTGTGTGTGTGTGTGTGTGTGTGTGTGTCCATTCATTAGAACATGGTGTGAATGCAGTCAACGCTACAAGGTAGGTGCCAGGTCAGTCTGCTAGGTTGTATTTCTGAAAACACCTGTATCTAGAACTGACTCTGATGTGAAAACTTTAAACCACTTATTGAAGCAATTTCAGGCAAGGCTGACTGGTTTGCCTCTTCTTTCTGCCTCTGACTGCCAGGTAAGTGTGCGCAGATGTGGGCATGCAGCTTGCCACCCTTCCAGAAAAGGAGGAGGCAGAGCTTCAGGGCTTGTGCTTTGTTTAAAGGAATATGGAGAGATGAAGGAAGGGTCTTTGCTTTGCCCTTCCATCCTCTACTTCTCCTTTCCCCTTCCCTCCCTGCTCTCCCTTCTGTGCTTGGAGACAGATTTTCATTCTGCTCAGACTAGCCTCACGTCTGCTAGGTAGCAGAGGATAACTTTGAACTCTTAATTATTACTCCCAATTGCTGAGATTATAGGAGTGCACCACCATTCTTGCTTTAGTTCCTTCTTGAGGTTGGCAGGATTGATATTGACTTTTTAAGTATGGTGAGAACTGCTTCACATAAACATGTAGTGTGAAATGGCAGAAGTATGTTTAGGACCATTTAAGAAACTCTTAGATGATCTATCCTAAACTCAGGTCAAAATTCATTTAGTGGGTTGTGTGCGTGTGTGCGTGCATGTGGGCATGTATGTACGTGTGTGCATGTTGGTATGTGGAAGCAGAGGATAGAACTTGGGTGGCACATGTACTTTCATTTTTTTGAGACAGTGTGTCTTCGTTAGCCTGGAGCTTTCTAAGGAATAGGTGTTTGATTTTGGGATTATTTTGGGTGATTGTTCATTCATAAACTCTTGACACGTGCTCAGTTTGTCACAGCTGTCCCAGATTCAGTTATGAGACCATGAGTTGGAGACCAGGTGAAGAAGCTACCCCTGGCTATCTAGTCAGTAAACTGTTTTCTGCCCTCTCCCAATGGCAGGCTCTAGGTAGCAGTTCAGTTTGTCCCACCCGTGGCCAAAATTTGCTCAATAAGCATGGAGAGTTAATTTCTTTAAGATAACTCCGCAATGTTGACTGGGTCACAGGGGTAACTAGCAGGTTATGTTTATATTACAGCAGTGGTTCTCTGCCTTTGTAATGCTGTGATCATTTAGTACAGTTCCTCATGTTGTGGTGACCCTCAACCCTAAAATTTTGTTGCTACTTCCTAACTGTAATGTTGCTGC